TTTTTTTTCTCGTACCTACTGGATGCATGTATCGTTTGTGGCAATCAATCTATGCTCGTTTGAGAGCATTTTATAACTGTGCATGTATAACCAAATGATTTAGTGTTACTACAGACAATTTCGTGCACACATTGCATATGTAAATGCATATAAATACATATGTATGTATGTTTATGTAAGTATGCAAAGTGCATACACTATATGTATGTATGTGCTCTTCCTTTATACACTCACATGCATTTGTAGTCGTTTTTATTGCCACTTTTATATCAATTTTTGCTAGTACAATTTATGACAATAACAAAATTTTATTTTCAATTCACCCTTTTTGCAGCTGCAACATTTACAAAAACAAAGCGCATAGTAGCATATACGATTGGCAAGCGACGTGTTACAGTATTGGCCGCAAAATGTTACCCATCATCATTGCGCTATTTCTTTGCATTGGACTACTGCCGGCAGCTTGGTGTATCGATGGTCTCCAAGGACAATCTATTAAGGGTAAGTTTTATGAATTGATTTCAATATGCTACTATACAATACTACATATACTGCATATACTACAATATGCAATAATTACGAGTTTAAAAGTAATAAAGTGCAAACCATTTTACGGTAAAAGATGATTTGGTTTATAATTCTCATTATCCACCCTATTTTCAATTGAATCGCCGGGATAGTTTTTTTCTACCCTATCTTCTACATATTTCCGTTTCTTCTCATTCTTAAAAAAAAAGTGCGAAAAAGGCTAATTTCACAGACTACTAGGATACGAACGTTGATCCGGATTAACGGCGCAGTTGGCCCGATCAAAATTGGGCCTTGACAAACGGCAGTAATGCGGTTTAAAGAGCCGCGAGGTCGTCGGTTCGACGGCCATGGCCAGTAGAAAATTTATTTATTTATTTATATTCATTCAGTTATGACTTAGGTATATATTTTTATGTTGTTTTTAGTTAGTTATTTTTGACGTTTTTAATTTAACTAAACTCTAAAAATTTTTATTAACTAATAAAAAAATTAATAATATTAAACAAAATAAAAGAAAAGAACGCGAAGTTAAATAAAGTAAAATAAAATGTACAAATAAAATGAAATAATACAAATAAAAACTGTTTTGATGATTGAAGCGAGGAGCGAACCTGCGTGCTATGGAATTGTAGTACGCAGCTCTCGCTTCTCATTATCTTTGCGTTTGACTTAGTGACGCGGTTACTGAAAGTTTCCTTCGTAAAATGGCAGACCCCGATCGAGCACTAATTTCTGCATTGGAGATTGGAGATGATTCTATTGATTTGCTCTTATGGTAGGGAAAGCAAAAGGCTCCTTAGAAATCCTCTTTAAAGTCAGCTTACGAAGAAGGAAGCACCTTCTGTGAACGGACCTGCGTTATAATACCGGGGAGTTAGGGTCAGAGATATAACTATTATAAGAGAAAAGAATAAAAGTCAATCAATAATCATTATATTAAGAAAAATATTTTTCGAGTCATCTATACTTATTATTCCAGGACTTATATTATAGAAGTAAATATTTTTAAGTCTTCAAAGACATTTATTATTAATGTTTTCGTAATAGATAATTATTATTGAGATAAATATTTTTAAGTCTTAAAATACTTTTATTTTAAGACTTATATTGTAAAAGTCTTTTCATAATAATTAGGAGTGCGAAAAAAAATTTCTAAGTCTTAAAAGGCGGGACTTGTTCAAGAGCATTTCAGGATTAGTTGGGGTCTAGTTCGGGACTAGTTGGGGAGTAGTTTGGGACCTGGGGCTTGGTTTGGGAACCGTTCGGGACTATATACACAATTTTATCGCACTCATAATTATTATCAGTAGACTTTTATAATATAAGTCTTTGAAGACTTCAAAATATTTATCTCGCTTATAATATTTATGAAAATACTTCTATTATGTAAGTCTTAAAATAATAGTTATAAATGATTTAAAAAAAAATGTCGTAATTGGTATCAAAAGACTTTTATAATTTTTACGTAAATTTGGAAGACTTTTTTAAAACTCCACCATGAAATAATTATTATTCTGGGTCTCGGGTAAGGGTTATTAGCCGTCGTAACCTTTTTGTTCTGAAGTATTTTTCATAGAATTCTTAATGCCAATACATTGTGATCGATTGGTTATACTAGAAAACTCGTCTGATTTGATCATCCACATTTTGTGCACTTCTTAATTTAACTGGTCTCCTTTGATAGGATTACGAAAGTATGAATTTTTTTAGTTACTATACACATAAAAAATTTGGCCTAAACATTAGGATATACGTTCGTAGTTTTAGATAAATTGTCTTAATTGAAAATATAACTTCTAAATGGTTTGGTTGGATAAGGTCAGGATTTAAAGATATTTTAGAAAGAAAAAAAATATGTTTGCTCACTTTTTGACTTGTTTCAGTTTGATCTTAAAATGACCACATTGTCGGCGTTGAAAATGTGACTAAATATAGTGCACGGATGGGCGTAATCAGGAAGAGGGTTAGAACTGCGGCAAGCCTAAATAGGAGTAAGTGATGTGAAAAGCGTAGCAGAAAAAGAAATTCCGTACTAGATATGTATTTTTTATGTATGTTAGCTGGTCATAATTTGCATTTTTAGTTAAAAAAAAAATAAAATAATTCACAGCCTTTAATCGTGTCGTGCAACTACTATTTAGCATCTCAAAAAAAAAAAGACGTGATAGAACCAAACTGACTCTGACTGAAAACTCTATCATCTACATTTTAATACTATTTCTTGGCCTTAGAAAATTTCAAAAGTTAAAAAATTGCATACGTACAAGCCAATCACGCTTTGACCTCTTCTATTTAAAAACAAAAAAAGTGTAGTATTTTTTAGCCAAAAAAGTGTTTGAAGGCCAGATAAATTTTAAAAGCTAGATACTTGAAAAAACCGGCCCTAAGACAATTTTTGGAGTTCAGATACTGCAATAAGTGCTCCTTATTATTTGGGAAAGAAAACCGAAGTAGATCGTGAGTAAAGCGGAGTAGCGTAGTAAATTTCTAACTTTCGTCAAAAAACGTAGCGAATCTACTACGATCGTAGTGAAGTTCTAACGCTGATCAGGAAATAATATATGAATAATTGAATGAAAAAAATAAGAATAAATTTTCATTCATCATCAAGAACTTTCAAATAACGAATAAACTTTCATTAATGATTCGAGTATTTAATTCCGAAAAATAATAATTTATTTTTATTTCCTATCCAGTCATTCTTTCTTGATCTTCTGTGCCTCCATAAGTAGATTTTGATTATATTTTTTAATTTTTCATTTACAAAAAATACACGATGGATCGTCTACCTTTCAATCGATGATCACTGCAAAAATGCTAAAGTGTAATTGCTTGCACCTTGGCCTAATATATTTAGCCTTTACTGTAGCAACAAATTCAAGCTTTCGCTACCAATAAAAAAAATGTTGCATGATTTTAGGCGCTTCATATTGTTAGTACGTACAAAGCGTATGTGTGTTATGGCAATCAATACATTTAACGAAATTAAAAAAAAAAAAACACATTAAAAAACTGCATAGCTTTGTAGTAAAAAATAAAAAAAAAAGATTTACACAAATAATTGTAACTGCAATTCCAAATTATACAAGCAATTCTTGCAATTCAACTTTTGCAGCTTTCAATGGAAATGTTAACTTTTTACGCCAAGTTTTTTGCAATAGATATCTACTAATTTTTTATTGCCTCCAACAGAGCGAACGCTGTCTATAACAATCAATTTGTTGGCGGTGAAATGTTAATTGCGTTTTTTTTTTGTTTGCCATTCGACGGTGAAATATTTGTGCATTTTAAAACATAAATATCTACATACATATTTTACAATGTGGAATTTTTATGATTTCAAGCAATTTTCCGAAAAAATTTTTTTTTTCTTCAACCATCCACAGATGCTTTCGGTGAATTCTCACTCACGGACATGATTAGCGTACATTCGCAAGGCATCGAATACGAGGAGGCCGATGATGGTTTCCCCTCCTACAAATTCTTTCCCACATCAGATGTGAAGACATCCTATCGCGTCTTATTGCCGGAGAAACTCTACGAATTTGCAATACTTGTCAAATTCTTACCCAACAGTCCCAAGGGCGGCTATTTATTTAGCGTGGTGAATCCTTTGGATACGGTGGTTCAATTGGGCTTACATCTATCGCCTGTCATTAAAAATATGTGGAACGTTTCGCTGCTCTACACGCAGTCAGATCAAAATAGCGTCAGTCGGAAATTGGTCAGCTATCAGTTGCCGTATAGGGGCAAGGAGTGGACAACACTTTCTTTTCAGGTACTCAGCGACAAGGTGCTCTTCTACTACGACTGTGAATTGAATGAAACCACATCGGTGGTGAGGGAACCGCAGGAATTGGTCTTCGATTCAGCATCAACTTTATATTTAGCACAAGCAGGTCTCATACTAACCGGGCACTTCGAGGTAAGTGATTTTGGATGCGATTTAATATTTTTTTATTGTTATTGTCATAGTTTATTTACGTATGTGCATAGCAGCCTTTTGGGAAAGTACACATGCGGGAAATGATTTCATAAATATTTTCAATTAAACAATATTCTTTTTTTGGTAAATTGTATTAAGGAATGTACGCAAACAATTTGGTATAAGCACTTAGCTTAATTACTGAATTGTTGATAAGAGATACATATGTAAGTACAAATGTATGAGCAACAAACGGTTGTTCATTAAAATTTTTATATTTGTATATTTGCTAAACGTGCGGTCACTTGGTAAGAAAAAGCTTTAAAGAAAGAAAATTATACTTGAAATGAATTAATATTCTAGTTATAAATCTATATATGGGAATTTCGTAAAAAATAATCTTAAAGTTAAAATTAAAAAAAAAAGAAATTGCGGGTTCCTAAATGAAATGATACTTATCCTTGAATCGATAAAAATAGAATGAATGGTTAATAAATTCAAATTTATGGCGTTCCATTTTCTACCGACAAATTTCATTGCCCGCCTCGCTCAACCAGCAAGAAGAGGGCAATCAAAAGAAAAAAAGTTTCTAGAAAAAAAACTTCTTTGGATATGAACGTAGAAACTTAGTTGCCGAAATTTACGACTAGTTATCGAGCTACACAAATTTATGGGATTATCGGAATTGGTCAAGTTAATGCTATCGAAATTTATTGAATTATCATTATTTATAGAGTGTACGAAATTTATCGAGTTATCGTAAAGCATCGAGTTCTTTCAACTTATCGATAGTTATTGATTTACTGAATTTTTCTCGATTTATCGAAATGATGTATTTGGAATTTTCAAGATAAATCGAATTGTCGAAATTTCAAGGTCTATCGAGTTATCACTGCTTATCGAAATTTATCGTGTTATCAGAGTGTAACGAGTTATCGAAATTTATAAATAGTTTTCGAAAAATATGGAGCGATCAATATTAACGGAGTTATCGAAATTTATAGAGGTATCCAAATTTTATTGAGCTATCGATTTATTTCGAGATACATACTTTTAGGGTTATCGAAATTTATTAAGCCTTTGAAACGCACAGTTATCGGAATTTACGAAAAAGTCAAGTTATCGGAAATCAGTGTTTTTGAAATTCATCGATATATATCAAATTCCCGATATTTATCGACAAAATTGAAGACTTTCAAAAACATAAAAAAAATTGTAGTCACGTTTTAGTTCTAAAGCAGGAGATTATCCCGTAAGTAATTTTGTACCTTATAAATTAAACGACGTTCTAGAGGAAACAGTATGTATGTAATAAAAAATAACACAAAGTATTAGCTATGAGAACAATTTAAAAAAGTGCAGCCTAATAATTATTTGCTTTAAGCAAAAACAGCTTTTCAAAATTGGAATCGCTTAGCTTGTTCCTTCGGGGAGCGTCCACTATTCCACTAAATGGAAGAAAAAACACTGTCATGGAGCAGAAGAAGGCAAAGGCGTGTTGAATTTCATAAACATTTGCCTTATGTTTCGATATTTGTTAAGAGAACTCAGAAATGTGTCCAGTTCGTTTTGTATGCCGTCTTTGTGTAGTATTTAGTGTTCAAGGACCTGATATGAAAGGTATTAAAAACAATTATTTCACTAGTGAATGCACTTACTATCAATTTCTCCGCAATCTAAGAATCTCATTTATGTGTTGTTTTTTTGGCGCTATTGTTTCTTCAATGACTGAGGGATATATTGAAGCACGCTCAACAAACATCTACTTCAATTTATCCAAAGTCAATTGCGGTGCCGGTGCCTAAAAACTTTCCAGGCAAAATGAAAAACGTGTCTGAAAAAAGTGAAGTGCTCGAATTTCGACAATGGGGCGATAATAGTTTATTTTAAAATACCATTATTTTATGCGATAAATTAATTTTCAGAAAGATAAATAACAGATCACTCTTCAATTTTTTTATTTTCGCATTTACTAGGTTGTAAATTTACACCTTTTGAAAATTAGGACAGTCAGCAAAAAATTCTCAAAAATCTACGTGAAGCTTTAGACATTTGAAATTTGCCCTCAACCCTACAAGACAGCTGAGTATCATATCAGTGTTAATATTATCATTATCGCTAATAACAAAAGTGCTTATTAAAGTCCTCATTTTCGTTTAAGCCATGGGCAAAAATTGATTACTTTCCCCTCAATGTTGTCATCAGAAAGTCCTCAGTACTAAATAATAGTCAAACTACTCAATTATGCCATGCTACAAAAACAAAAGTGTAAATGTGTTTGCTAATTTTCGTAAGATCAGAATTTTTAGGTAGGTATGTGTAACTTTGAGCGTCTTGTTGACTGCTGTCACAAGTTCTTATTTTAGTATTACGGTGAGGAACTTTTAAACTCCCACTTAAGCTTTTCACCACTCGTGCTTCCGCTATGAGCGAAGCTATTTGCTCCTAGCAACAACAGCGCCGAAAAACCCCAAAGCGGATATAAAAATGTATTTTTGTAATGCCTACAATTTTGCATTACAAAACTTAATGGGTGGTATGTCAATTGAGTAAAAGCGAGAAGAAGAAATAAGAGCTAAACAAAATCAGTGCTTTTCCTAGTATGCGACCTACTGAGGGTGAGTTTTAAATATACTTACATATATGTACTTACTTACGATTTACAATAAAACCACCACTTTTTACTTAAAAAAAAAAAACGGCTTGGGGGTTGCTACCGCTAGATGACGCTAAAAACACTAGGCACTGTAGTAGAGAATTTGAGTGAAATCACTATAACGAGTTTAAGGGAAAGTATTTGTTATGAAGCGCCAGTGAGAACCAGTGTTACCAGCACTTTTTCAGAGAAAAGTCTAAATGGACTAACAAATAAATCTAAAAAGGCTAAATCATAATTTTAGTTATGGCTAAGAAAAATAGCTAAATTAATAAATAAAGTATTAGTGTTTAAGATAAAAACAATGCATTTTTGCAAAGGCACAATTTATTTTGTACTTAGGTCACTGAATCTAGGCTGCTTAAGACAAAGTTTTGATTCCACCTTATTGTCGAGCAGTTTAACAGACATTGGACTGCTTCCTTAATGCTCAACACCTCCGTAAAGCTTCGACTCATCCTTGTAGAAATTCACCGGTTTCGTCCTGCAACCACTGCCACCCGTTGGCTCATTCCTAAAGGTGATGTGAGTGTCGAAAGGGCTCAAAAACCAGTCTACCCACGCAGATTTCGGATAAGGTGGAACGCTTAGAAACCTTGCTTTGTGTTTGCTGACGAGGGAAAATACAAACATGTGAGATGTGTTTGTAATAAATCTAGCCGGAAAATATCAAAAATGGCAACACTGGTTACATGCTTACTCTCTTTCACACTGCAACAATACGACCTCAGACACTCTTTTGTGTGTTGCGCAAACTGCATTGCGCTGAATTGCGCGCTGAATGAGTGAGTGTAATTAGTAAATTCCTTTACAGCTGATGGTCATTCTGTTTGCCTTTCACAATTTGCGATACATTCGCAGGATATGCGCTCAACTGATGAATCTCAGCACATTCAATTTTTTTTTGTTTGTTAGCTGAGCGAGAAATCAAATATGGCGCTCTTAGTGCTTGCGGCTTTTAGCCAACTATGCTGTTTGGTTTGAGCCAACTTCGCACATTGTTCGTCCTTTGTGTGTGTGCATGCTCTCGCCGCGTGCGTAGTTCGGCCGATAAGGAGCGTTTTCGGCTGCCGAGCGCGTGCTGTAACAACACGATGACCTCTTTCTTTTTTCCCCTTTTACTTCGCAAGTTGCAAGCAATTGTTTCGTATATTCTTTGGTAAGCTCACAGGCTCGCTGTTGCTGCTCGGCTTATTTGACATGCTGAGTATTGTGCTGAGTGTTTCTTGCTGCTGCTGCTGCTGCTGATTGTCATTGCTGAAGTGAGCTATGATTGCAATTGCTATATGCTCGTATGTGTGTGCGCGTGTTTGTGTATATCTGTTGGCGAGTTTTTCTAAAAAGTTATGTTCTTCAAGTGCGTTTACCTCAGTCGTGTTAGGTGCTGCAACCGGTTAAGATGTGCTAAACGGAATGACTAGCGTCGTTTAAGTGTTAAAGTGTTCGTCGAGTGTTGCGCTGAGTTGCGTTTGCTTTGCGAATCACTACGAAACGGGTCTATATATCTACTCATTGGTTGGCTATTGTGCTACAGATTTTTTTTTTGTGTGCTTTTCGCGTGCGTATGTGTAATACTTATTACATGCAGAGCATTGAAGTGGCGATGGCGAAGGCAATGGTGCTTTAACAGCTCTGTGTGTGTATATGTACGAAGTATTTCGGGCGATTTTTTTTGCTTTTCGAGTGGCGCAAAGATGTGTTTGGCACTAAGCAAAAAAGCACAGCATAGCACTTGCCGATGCTGTTGAAGTGTCTTGGTTGGGCTCATACATAAGTGTGGCTAAAAGTGTATGTGGAAATTTTGTAATTATGATTGTTGCCTTGAATCGCGAACGAGAGTGAAAAAATACCTATACATATGCATCGCAGTGTAGATGAAAGATGAAGGCAAGCAATCTGTTAGGCCTACTATTGTTGCCTAGAATTTGTGGCAGACACATACATATGTGTTGTTGTTGCTTAAGTATTTAAGTGGATTTTTATTGACTACGCTCGCACGCTAACATACACACACACACACACATACATATCTTCCACTTTATACACATGTAGTATGTCCACTTGAGCTCTAACGCGCACGCACACCTACACAGACAATCCTACCTATAAAAATAAGCCGCGCGCGTATGGATATTGAATGCCTGCAAGCCACACAGAGATTCATATGCACCTACGAAAATAAACCAAAGAAAGCTAAAAGAAGAAGAAAGTCGAAAAAATCGTAAGCGAAAGATTTTCCGGAAAAAGTTTTAAATTTACGCGAAAAGTTACGCGTTGCAGCATTTAAGCATAAACGTTCGAGAAAATCGGTCGATTAAGTATACGCGTCGTCGCACAACGGTAC